TCCTGGGAAAAGCCTGGCTCTCTCGCCTTAATGAGATAATTACGTCCTGCACCACAGTTAAAAACTCATAGGCTGCTTCCCTTGGGGTTAGAAAGAAACCTCCCTAATGAAAACCAGCCACCGGGAGAGGAAAAAGGAGTTTTTCCTCTTTAAAAATTATATTTATATATATACACACATATATGCATGGAGGAGGCGGTGGGAGGGAGGGGGGCAGACCCAGGGGCTGGGTGCTGGTGTCCGGCGGGGGCTGAGCTCGGGGCGATGAGCAGAAATCGAAGAGGTTAACGGTTATTATTTCTTCCCCTCGATTCCAGCGTGCTCCCCTGCCCGCCGCTGCAGGCACATATGGACGGGGCTGCGCACACGCAGGGCTCGACGCGAAATCTCCGAGCGAGATCGGCCGCTGGAGCCCAGCTCTGAGCTCATAAACATCCCTGCTCCAACGCAGCCGAGGGAGGCAAACCCCTGGCTGAGTTATTTTAACATTTGTCGAAAGCTTTTCTTGCGCTCTCTTCCCCTTCAAGTCAGAGGCGTGCAGATTTTGAAGCCAGCCAGTGCTGCCAAATCTGATCTTCCTGACGGGGAAGCAGCTTCCCAGAGCTCTCCAGCTTGGAAGGGGTGTAGCTGAAGGCAGATTTTGGCTCTCTTCGACTCCGCGGGGGGCTCCTCCAGTGTGCAAACAAGCCAGTCCAACCTCCCTTCCCCCCTCCTTTTTTTGGGGAGTCCATTTATTGGCCCTATTGGCCCAGTTTATTGGCCCTAGGGGCACTTTAGGAGTCCGCTCCGCTGTCTGGTCCTGCCCCCCTTGGCCGTGTAAATCACAGGCTGGTGTCACACCACTTTCTGCTCCTGGTTCCCCGGGGGCTGCCCCCGTGGATGGATGTTTCACCCCTGCCCAGCACCCAGCCGGGTGGGTCCCCGGCGGCGCGCGGTGCCAGGGTGATGCTGCACACTGCAGCTATGCACTCAATGCGTATATGAGGATATAGATTGCATATATTAGAATATAAAATGCATATATTAGAATATAGATCACATATATTGTCATCAGCCCTCCTGGCTGCCCCAGGCTCTCATGGGGGAGATGCTTGCATCACCCCTGGGACCACCGGGCCCTGGAGGACCCCACGCAGCCCCATGCCACCCCTCCTTGGCCATGTTACCCACTTATCCTGCTTTTTTCAATCGTGATTGAAGGGACAGACCCTTCCCAGGATGCAGGTGACACCATGTCCAGGAAAAAAATACTCAAGGACCAACCTGTGGGATGGTGAAAACCCCTTGGAGGACAGTGACCCCTCAGCGATGTGCCCCAGCTGGTTGGGGTGGTGGTGGGGCCGGGGTGATGAGGACCCCCATTCTTCCCCCAGTATTTCCCCCTTGGCACCAGAGTCTGGGAACCTCTTGCTGTGATTATTTTTGGGGGGGTGGGTTTCAGGGCAGCTGGTCTTGGCCCATGAAGGGGTAAGGGTGGGAGGAGGGACAGAGCAGCCCCAGCCCCATTTAAAACCCTTTTCCTCCTCCTTGGTCGGGGCCAGACCTTATTCTTGAACTGTCTGGCTTTTCCAGGGGAGACGGCTTTCCCTCAGTTCATGGCATTAAATAATTAAATGGAGGGAATAATCGTCGGTGAAACCCCCTTGGGTTCGCACTTCCTCGGGCCCTGTGATTGCTGATATTTTTTTGGGTGAAATATGACCTTTTTTATGATCAAAGGGGATCAGAGTTCCAAAGGAAAGTAAAAAAAAAAAAAAAAAGTAAAAAAAAAAAAGAGGGCAAGCATTTTCTTTTTTCCCAATCCTAGTGGTCTGGTAAAGTTTCTTTAGACATGCAAAGATTTACACACCTTTCTGCAGGGTGCCTTAAATTACCCTCCGACTCTTTACACATTTCCATGAGCAGAGCAAGAACAGTAAGTCATTGAGAAATTAACTGGCCTTTCAGTAATATCCCCTGTCGGCCTTTCAGAAGGAGAATGTCTAATGACTTTTTTGAAGTAGAGGTCAGGGTTTGCTTTTTTTAAATAAAACAATCTGTATTAATGCAATTTCCTTTTTAGCTGTAGGATTTGCCTTTTTTTTTTTTTTTTCCCAGCATCATTTTTTTTAACTCTGCCATCCACATAAGGCATTTGAAGCGAGACCCAGTTGTTTGAAACCCACCCTCCTGGCATTTCCTAACTCTCTTGTGCAAGCTCTTCTCTTTTTTGGTAAAAAATACATTTTAAGTGATTAAAACTGGACCTTGGAGCTGGCAAGGTGACTCTCGGCCTTGCTTAAGGCAAAGCACGGGTGGTTTGGAGATGAAGCCGAGCAAGTTTGCTTTGCCTGACACCAAGCACCTGGGTTTTGCTGAGCTGGGTGTGTGCGCAGAGTCCAGCTTTGCTGAGCCAGAACTGTTGGGCTGATGAACCAGAGCAGCACCAAACCGGCAGGGCTGTGCCAGGCTCCTTGGGGTGAGGATCTGGCCAGCCAGAGCCCGCTGGGTTTGCAGTTTGCAGCCCTTGGGATGAAAGTGTTTCCATTTGCCAGTCCTTCATCTTCCTCTCTTAAAAAAAAAAAAAAAAAAAAAAAAAAAAATTTTTTTGTTAGTCTTGCTTTGTGTCCTCCCAGGGGTTTCCTGATATTTCTTCTCATGCTGTGATAACATCTCACGCTTCCCCAGCGCTTGCCACGGCACGGATCTGGATGTGCTCTGCCAGCCCCAGCCCTCCTCCTCACCCCCAACGGCGGCGGGGGCTGGGGTGGGGCACTGCTTGGAGCTGCTCCCTGCGGTACCCTGGTGATTGTTCTCCTTAATATTCCCAAAATCTTGCCCTATGGATACTATCAGGCTGGCTTGCCCTCATCCCCCATGGGTGGAAGACTTTTTCTTACTATGGAGATGCACCTCTGCTGCACCTTAAGAAGGATGTAGGGAGTAAAGAAATAGTAAGGAGAACAGTATGGGAGAGGGTGGGGGCTTGATGGTGCCTGGCCATAACCCAGCAACCGGCTCTGAGGGCAGGTGGCCAGGGGTCCATCCCTTTCCCGGCGCTGGGGGAGCAGGGCTGCCTGCCCCCATCTGCTTAAATCAGAGCCGTGCCCAGCCCCGTGTCCTGCCCGGGCTGGGGACCAGAGCACCCCCATCCTGCCCCCGGCACCGGGAGCATCGGGGCGGGCAGGGCTCAGGCCATCGGGCCCGCAGGGGTGACAGCTGAGGGCACTTGCTGGAGGAGTCCCCCCATGCCCGGCCCTGGTGCTCCAAGCAGGAATGGTGTTTCTCTATCTGCTGAGCAACTCCTCTTTCTCTCTCCATCCCTTCCAGACCCCGAAAGCGCAGCGTGCCCTGGGCTATCTCCTCTCCTCTCCTCGTACTCTTCCCTCCAGATCTCACAAACCCCCCCCTCCCCGTTCCCTCCTAGCTCCTTGTCTCTGCGGTCGGTGGCATTATAAAACACCCTGGCTAGGCCCTTGGTGGAGGTTTTTCTCAGCTTTCTTATTCCCTCTGTCTCTTTCTTTTGCTTTTTCTTTCTCTCCCTCTCTTTCTTTCCCTGCCAGGAATCCCAGTCCCAGATGAACCAATACTCCGTGGCTCTGCTATTTCCCTTTTATTCCCCCCCCCTTCAACAGCGAGATGGGAAAAGAGTGAACTAAAAAAAAAAAAAAAAAAAAAAAAAAAAAAAAAAAAAAAAAAAAAA